TTTTTTTTTTTTTTTTTTTTTTTTAAGAAAAGGGCCCAGTGCCCAAGGCTGATATTACCAGTGAAAACTGCTTGAGGCGTAGTGGCCACATCGTAACTTAACACTCTGCCAGCCCTGCATGGTAGATCTTCGGAATCCTACAAAACACACCGAGGTCCGGCTTTGGGTCTCCCTACGAAACACCAAGTTCCCACTCTGCCAGCCCTGCGTCCGAGCAAGTCATCACTGCCCGGCTTTCTTTCAGAGAATGTAGCAGCATATCTCTTCCGACTGGAACAATCCACGCTTCGTCTGATCCTCGAAAGTACCAGGAAAGTTCACGGCAAGTTCGTCGTCTTTGGAAGAGATGTGGCTTCATGTGTGATGTTTCTGTTGTCCTTCGAGTCGCTGTGCAACTCCCGACAGACATTTCTTGTTCTGGATGTGGGTGGGCTTATGCATCCCCTCTGTCCTCCTTGCAAAGTCCTGTTTCCTTCTCCCTTCTATATAATCCTCATTGGCTAACACTCTGTGGGCTCTGCTGTGGTGGACCTTGTGTAAACACAGCCGCAACTCTTCTGGTACCTGGGCCAGGATCCAGAACGTCAGATTCCGCGCTGTGGATTTCCTTTCATTTTGTACGTCACAAGTGTGCGGATGCTTGCTGACGGCTCCGTTGAGAGTGTCTACAAACGCTGGCCTCGCCTCCCGCCAACGCGTCGGATATGCCCAATGCCGATCATGCAGGTCAGGCAAGTGCGCGCAATACGTTCGAAGCCTATGTTGTTTCCAACCCCATCCGAACCAGGACTCTTCACTGGCCCAAATCTACCTCGGCAATGTTGTCGATCCTTCGTTTTGGAGAAGAATGACACAGAGGCAGTGGTTCACTTGGGTGATTGCGATGATGGAGGCTTGGTCACAGATATTTCCTAGCTATTCTTACCCAAAAATATTGGACGGTTGGCTTAACCATATGAGCAACGCCCACGCAGACTACGCGGTCGCTCATTCAACAGCGACAGTGTTGTATTTCCCGATTATCCTTTGCAGCTCGTCGAGCAGCCTGATCCTGTTCATTTGCAATTCCTTTCTGCCGACATCGTTATTACAAGCATTTATATATTTATATACACCTAATGAGAGGAGGTTGTTGCATGTGTACCCAGCCGATGTGGCTGAATGGTGTACACACGTAGATGTGAGCTAACTAACAGGTCATGAGTTCAAATTCTGATGGGGAAAAGAAGGAAAGGTTAGCGGGGATGAGAGGGAGTAATAATAGAGTTATGTGTTGAGGAAAGGGTTCGAAAAGGGGAGTATGTGCTGAAGATGGAGATGACAGCGAGGAAAAGTGTCTTCGCGCTTTTTTCCGTCCATCGAGTTACCTGTGCGTTTTGCTGGAGATCGCTCTTTGCAAGACATTCAGGAGGAAAGCAGGAGGAGGAGGGGGGCGGGCGTACAAGGAGAACGTGTGCGAAGAAGGTCATCCGACAAACAACAATGCTCTACTCCTGTCTTAGGATGAAGAGGCTATTCTCATTCTTGAGTGCAGGAAAATTGCCATTGACAGCCTTAAATTAATCTGAAGATCATCGGACCTGTGAAAAATTTCATCTGAAGATTTGCAGACGTATTTAGAGCAGAAAATGGACTCTGTTCCGGTTTCGTTGGTGTTCAGGATTGGAGTCATGGTTACTAGAGATGGCTGCGGGCATTCATAATACTTCATATTCCATTTTTTGTCAGAGGTGAAATTCTTGGATTTATCCATGACGTCGATGATGAAAGAAAAAGAGCAGAAAATGGATGACGTCCTGTGCATGTGGCATTTCGGGCGATACCGGCGAGCTTGCAGATTCCGGAGAGTGCTCAGCTGGTGTTGCTGAAGAAGGCCGTTGAAGCCTGAGTAAATTTTTTGTGGGGGCACACTTGTCAGATATAGAGACCTGGCTGAATGCTCATCTCGGTGAGAACTAATTTGGCACAACTTTCAGCCCAGATACAGCGATAATTACCGGGCGTTCTATTCGGGTGAAGACGGCAGACTTGGTTGTCGATTATATGCATGGTCATTGGCTGGTTGGCATACAAACATCTCTGCCAGAGAGAAGGAATGGAAAAAAAAAAAGACGAGAGAAGGGAAGCAGATGAGTGCCATAGTACCCGTGCCCACCCTGCCCCGCCTCCTCCCCCCTCCCCCCCTCCCCCCCCTAAGCAGCAAAGGAAGTTCCCATTAGTGTTTGCTGGTTGGAACTCATTTTTCCTAAACCAGCACAAACACTAGAATGCTGGTTGTGCGTGCTAGAATTGCATTCTAGTGTTTGCTGGCTAAGGAAAAATGAGTTCCAGCCAGCAGGCATTGGGAGGCATAGACATGATGTCATGGGCGATATAAGCTCTTTTTCATGAGGAGGAAAAACATCGCTGCTGAGATGAAGTTATGGGTGTTTCAATTTTTCAATTTGTGTGTGCAGAGCGCATATGCACACATATGCATGCACACAGCACTGTGTGTCTGCAGGCGAGGAAGGGAGAAGAGTGAAGGCAAAGAGCGGTTGCGAACGAGTACCATTTAGTATCCGTCATTTGTTACACATAGCACATTCCATTCCTTTTTTTTCCCCTTCTTTAATAGAATGATTTATTTAATCATTTTAAATTTTAATTCCATTCATCAGGGTCCCTCAGGAGTCGAACTCGGGTCTGTATTTCAACAGTTCATGGGTGTAAAGTCAAACTGAGCTCAGCTCGTTGGCAGGACATTGAATCCCTGTGATTACTAACAGTTGGTTTTGAACCAAAGGGCAGCCCTGCGTGCAGCGTTGATATGCCTCCTCCTTCGTTTCCCGACGTAGATTTACGGTCTCTCGTCTCCTTCCCTGCTCGCGTATGCCGCTTTCTCCCAATTGTCTCCATCCATCCACCTCTCTCTCTCTCTCTCTCTCTCTCCTGTCTCTTATACACATCTAGATGTGTATAAGAGACAGGGAGTAGTCTTGTCTTAGGTAAGTTGCCTTCTGC